GCCGCCGGACTGGACAAAGGGTACGAAGCAGGGCTTTGAGTAGGTTTAAAAAGGATCGCGAGCATACTAGCTTTCAGACACGCTCCACTATCAAGCACCGCGGCCCTTTCTCCTCCTCCATCGCCCTCTGAGCAGCCCGCTGAGCTGGGAAGGGGGCTCTCCAGGCACTGCATTTAAATACACTTTCTAAATGACTCCTAGTGCCCTTTCTGCTGCCCTGGAGTCAGATAGAGGGGAAAAAAAAAAAAAAAAACACGCAGTTGCTAACCAGGCAAACGAGATTTGCCTGTGTATGATCAGGCTGTGATGCTCTCTTCCAAGGCTGAACGTAGCCCTGCGGCCCTGCTAGTCCAATACCGAGGGTGACTAATGTAGGATAGTCCCTAAGCTTCAGCGTGCCCAGCGCCTTTCAAAGTGCTGATCACAGAAAAAAGAAAAAAAAAAGCTCTGAGACAAGGGGATTACCCCAGATGCATCCAATCTGGAGCTCTGCGGCTGTTTGTCATACGATAGCCGGGTCTACTGTATCCACTGGGTATTGCATCCTACGGAGTATATTGCGCACTGCTCATGCGCTGTGCCCTCGTCCTGGCCATATGTTGCCTCTATACGTTGCCAAGTGGCTGCGTGGAGCTGTGTGTAGGGGTGCGCTGTACAGCGAGTTGGTGCGCTGGGCCCCGGGCAGCCCGGGACCGACGCAGGCGTTGCCTCTGCGTGGCGGCTGCGAGCGTCGCCGGGGATCCCAGGGAGCAACCCGCTTCGCTCCGCGCTTGGACGCTTGTGGCCCCAAGGGCTTCCGCAGGTGCCCGCAGGCCCTGCTCGGAGCAGCGCACAATGGCCATTGTTTGCCGGCGGGGCGGGTGAGCGGGCTCCTGGCCGGGCAGGAACAAAGCCCGGAGCCAGTTCCTGCAAACATTAAACATACCTTTTTATCACTTCATGACAAAACGGTTTGTCAGCAACAGGAAGTGATGTTACTGCCTTCCTCACCAAAGGGAAACTCCTCGTGGTTTCCATGGGGATGTATGCAACTGTATAATTACAGGTTTCTATAACCCCCGTGTATGTCCCCCGTACAGCAGCAGGCTTCCAGGCGTCTCGGGTGGACGCGAGGGGAAGGGTCTGGGCTGAGACCGGGGTAGCGTGCCACGTGTAGAAGCCAGGGTCCGCTGGAGCTCAGCGCTATAAACCCCAGTGAACCGTGTGCCTTGATATCCCAAACGCACAAAAAAGCAAAGCGGGGAGAAGAAACGAGGGGAGAGAAGGGAAAATGCCTCCCTTCCGGTTGCCGAATCCCACTTCCGGCCTCCGACCGACCACTTCCGGTTTCCCCCAAAACCCCCTCCCGCAGCCTCCCCGCCGCAGCGCCGCACCTCCTCCTCTTCCTCCCACCTTGCTGGGCCTCTCTCAGCTCCTTCCCCCACCTCTCGCCGCTCTCAGTCAACCTCCCAGCCGAGCCCGTTCATCTCCCCCCAAACGGTGGCACTGAACCGGCCCTTGCTGTGCTCCCTTTGATCTTTCCTGCTTTTGGATGTTGTTCTTTTCCCCTATCCTGCGCTTGTTTGGACCGGGAGCGCTTCAGGAGCCGCGGCCGATCCTGTCCGCAGAAAACCTGCATCGATCTGCGTGCTGACCTGTGCGCGCACGGGATGCTCGTAATGGTCGGCAGTGGAAAGATCACCCTACAGGCTCTAGAAAAGATGCTGCCAGTGCCCGGAGGTAGAAGCGGCGCTCGGTGCCTTGCGGAGAGCCTCGTGCCCCGCTGCAGCCGGCTGCTTTTTCAGAAACGTGCTTTGTGCTGAAGCAGCTCTCTTTTTGTGCCCTTCTGTCAGGTGCCTTGTTAGCTTCTAAAAACTGATCCACTGCCAGGTAATGAGTTTTATTGTTCCAAGAAACACATAAACAAGCTGCCCCAGCTGCCGGGGAGCGGAATTCTGTTTGAACTGTGATTAACAGGCAGGATTTTTTTTTTTATCAGTTGCAGGGCTGGGGCTGCCAAGGTTGTATTTTTCCACTGAACGAGCTCTGCCTTGCTTTGAGGGTGCAAGTTTGTTCCACTATTTACTGCAGGTGTAGAAAGGCTCACGTATTCAGGAGCAGCCTTGCGCGGTTTGCAGGGAACGCAGCGGTGGGTGCAGTTCCACAGAAGGGAGCAACCCGCAGCGTGAGTTTCCCTGGAAGAAGGAAGGGGGTTTTGCAGGATCTTCAGGACAGTACAGGCTTCGGGAAGGATTAGTCGGCAAGAGGTTCATGCACGTTAATACGCTATAAAGGGTTTCTAACCTCAGTTCTTAGTGACCAGGGATCTCTGTTCACTTCCCTTTTTGCTGCTCCATTTGTTTTTATCCCTCGGTGTCGGGTTGAAGCTTGCCGACTGTTAATGCGTAGCGCTGACGACAGAGCTGCGTCTCAGGGGTAGTTCACGTGGAAGAATTTCAGGCACAGCAGTGCATCATCCCATCCTTCAAGGGCACCTTCTCCCAGGAGAAGAGTCCTGGATTTTAGCACCGTTAACGCTCTAGGTTACTTGCAGGATTGCAGCAGGAGTTTATTTAGTGCTTGGCTTGTCTCCAGCTATGGGACAAGACTACAGCTGCTTTATGCTTAATAAAAGCCTCATCTATAAGCTTAGGCTTCAGATTTTAACTACCAGAATGCTTTAATTTTGCATAAAGTGTTGTAAGCTACCGTTATCTGCCTAAGTAAACCTTTTTTTGATGGGCCAAGAGTAGGATCTGACTCCCGGAATTTCAGAGATGCAAGGACTGGCACCTTCCTTCTGGGGTCAAGGTACAGAGCCAGAACAGTCGATGTCCTAGTACGCCCCCACCACCCCGCTAGAGATATAAATCGATTAGAAAAGAAAGACAGCTTCTGGCTGCGTTTCTTCATTGTGCGTTAGCTTCACCTGGTGAGGAGGACACATCACAGCACCTGCTGCTCCCCCATGGACCCCACGCACCTGTGCCAGACCCAAGGCACAGTGCTGACCCTGCACCACTCACCGTGCCCTACCCCTGCCACGGAGCCTGCGCCCTCAGGGCTGGCAGGAGCACCGACCAGGCAGAGCACCCCTTTCTCCCTTTCGTTACACTACATAAAGCTCTGCTTCTCATTACCTCACCTCAAGCACCAGGTAAAAGTCACACTATTGCAAAGTTGCAGCAAGAAAGAGTTTGGGTCTAGGTAACAAGTTCAGTGACTGTTGACTACTTGATCTGTTCTTATGCCCCAACTTGCTTACAGAAATAACGCAGTAAGCCAACTATTTCACCCCAGGGACTAGAGGCATTTTAGCTTGCAAAGGAGAAGGGGGGAGGGAACAAAAACAAACAAACAAAAAACCTTGGCATGAACTCTCATAAACATTGAAGAACTGTTACTAACAGGTTAGTTTTTAGACTTAACCTTTGAAGTGTTAAAAGTAAACAAGCAGTGAGGAAGCTGTTCCTAGAAGAGGATTATTTTAAATTCACAGTAGCCCCATGCCCAAGCCACAGCTGGTGTAAACTGCTACAGCTCCGTGGCTGTCACTGGAGCCAGATCCACCTATGCAGCTGAGAATCTGCCCTTGACTCTTTGCCATCGCATAACAACATGGGCACAAAACAGGCCAAGTCACAGCCTTCTCCTAGATCACAGGAGATCTCAGCTCAGGAAGAAAAGCTAGTTTCTGGTCAAGTATTTTGTCTTTAAAACCATTTTCCATCTTGCTCAGTCAGGACACTGTCTAATTGCATTGCCTGAAGTCAGCAAGCTCAGCAGCAGAGTCCTAAATTCAGACTTCTTACAGCTCATCTGGGAACACCCAAGTGGAGTTTTGAGACAGTGAAATTTTGAAAGACATATGCAGCTCAATAGAAATATCATAATTTATTCTGTTTGTATAAAAAGTTGTAATCATGTAACAAAACTATGTCTTCATAAGAAGAAATATATTATTTCACATCATAAATAATCAGCAAACATACAACCCTTGGCAACTCAAAAAAGCACTCGCCTGGTGCTTTCATGTCAGTGCTTGGGAAACTAGAAGAGTTGACAGATATATACAGGATTACAGTACCAAAAAAATACTGAGGTATTTTGTTTCTCTAGAAATGAAGCCTTAGGTTTGTGAAGGCAAAAAATGCATTAATGTAAAAATAAATAAATAGGAGGACTGTCATATTACAGGGGACAGCATCAGTGTTGCTTGAAGTGTCCAGGAACGGGAATACTGGTATGTATGCTACTAAACAGGGAGCAGGCTTGGAACAGACAGAAGACAAGGAACAGCTCAGGAAAAGACAATGTTTTTTGATCTCTACGTAGACATCCAGATATTGGCTTAAAATATCAACAAAAAAGTTGGTAACACCTAGTTCTCTGGAGTCAGGCGAGCTCCTGTCCGCTCACAGCAGCGCTCTGGGATGGATGGATTCCCCCCAAAAAATGCAAGTGACCGATGACACTGTCCCCATAGTTATTGCACTTCTGAGACAATAGAAGTCAGAGTTCTGATCATGTTTTCACCTGCCTTTCAGCAGCTTGGAGAAGTGGTGATGGGGCTCTGAAGGTAGCTTAAAGCACTGGACGATGTGTGAACAGGGATGGAGACTGGAAAGTTAAAGACGGTTGTGGTTGATGCTCCTCTGTCCAATACAGCAGACATAGCAGGGCTGCCAGCTTCTGCTGAGCAGTTCGGGGCAAGGACCTGGGACTCAAACTGAAGCAGCTGTCCCATGAAGCTGAAGTTTGGGGAGATGATGCTTCTTCTCTGCTTCACAAACTCAAAGGCTTCATCTAGTTTGACTCTGTTGGTCCTCATGAGATAAGCAAGGCAGATGGTTGCTGACCGGGAAATGCCAGCCTGGCAGTGCACAAATACCCTTCCACCATCATTTTTAACAGAGTCTGAAAGAATTAAAAACACACAGTTAGCAAACAAGCCCCACTGCTTCCAAAGGTGGGAAAGCACAGGCTACTGTTTCACATTTTAGTCCATCCCTCCCTTAGCCTAATAGGTGTGCAGGGTGCTTCGGAGACAAAGGGAGCCTTTGTCCCGAAGCAAACAGCAGTCTAGCTATTTTCATTCTGAACTCCAACTCCGATTATCCTAATAGCTCCTCCGGGTCACTTTACTGCTCTTGCAAGATTACTTTAAGACTTATCCGCTTAAATTCGCTAGCTCTTTTCTGTAAGACCTATGCCTCTTGATTCAGTACTTCAAGCAGCTTTTTAAAGCCAGGATTATTCCACCCCTAGTAGAATAAAATTAATGGGAATGTTCCCTAAGTATATCTCCTCTATGGAATGAAATCCCCCGGGATACAATGTAGCAAGATGTAGCCTGGGCTGGGGGAGGATGGCAGGGGAGCACTGGGGTTGCTTCCCAACAATTGGGATACATTATCCCTGGGGGAAAAAAAAAAAAGCAGGCTGTAAAGAGCTCATTTACCTATGAAATCAATCGCCTCATTAAACCAGGAGCTAATATCTGCCTTGTGGTTGTCCTCCACCGGGATGCTTTTGTACTGGTAGTGCCCTTCAAAATGGTTGGGGCAGTTAGCAGAGACGTTGATTAACGCTGTGATCCCCAAAGCATCCAGCATGTCTTTGCGGGAGGCATGGTACGCGCTGCCCAAGTAGAGAAACGGCAGGATTTCCACGGGCCCACCCTGAAACAGAAGGGACAGAGAAGCAGTTAGTCTCGCTGCAATCTTAAGGCAGCCCACCCCGA